GGAGACGACTGGAAGTGGGCTGCGGACCTGGGCGGGCTGGGCCACCCCAGCCGCGGGCCGTCGATGCCCTTCCCTCGCGTTACTCCCAGGGGGCAAGGGCTTCCGGCCTCACACACTCAGACACACACCAGGAGTGAAAACTTCACAGTCACTTTAATCTGCACATGTTCCAGAGAACTCCGCACCCCGCAGCTCCCTTTTCCCCTCATCCACACTCCCGGGGCCCCAAGGCAGCCCGAGGTGCTCAGGCAGGACACTAAGACGGGCCCAGGGGGGTGGCCCCACTCTGCCCGGGGCCAAGGCAGCGACAGCAGGTGCCTGACCCCGAGGAGCTGACTGTCAGTGGGGGCCGAGGGCCAGCAGCCCCAGGTGGCCCAGAGCCATGGAGGTCGCAGGGAGGAGCCTCTGGCAGCCCCTGGAGTCCTCTGCGGCGCAGGGCTGGGCTCCAGGGGAGTGGGAAGAGGCAGGTCGGAGAGGCTGGCCTGGGCAGACAGCAGCTCCCAGCTCGCCGCGGGGAGCAAGGTCCAGAAGGGCCAGCGACAGTGCCGAGAGCCCGCGGAGGCACTACGGGCGGTACATGGCGAAGGCCAGGAGACTGAGGAGCAAGGTGAAGCCGGCCAGGCCCAGGGTGGCGGTCAGGGGGAAAAAGGGCCGGTACTGGATCTGGCAGTACCAGAGCAGCAGCAGCATCAGGAGCAGCAGCGGCAGCAGCAGGCTGCCTATTTCCAGCCCGGAGGGGCCTGGCTCGGACCCCGGTGGGCAGGGGGGATGGGGGGGACCCGCCCTGGTGGACACATGGCAGTGGAGAACGCAGTTGGGAGGGAGGTGAAGGCTGCCCAGCGTCTGGGAGTCGTCTCCTAGGAGCTGTCCCTGGTAGATGAGCCGCACCTGCTGCTCCCGGCCGGGAAACTGGGTCCTGAGGAGAGAGGGACCTGGGTGAGAGAGCAGGCCTCAGGCAACCCTAGTGCATGTCCCAGAGCAATACCACCCTCCTCTGCCCTCCACGCCCCCCAGACCTGGCCTGGGACAGTGGGCAATGCAAGGGCTCAGTCCCTCAAATGCACAAAGAGGGGGCGGACTAGGATTCTGCGGTGGCCCTCTGCCATGGCTCCCACCCCACTCTTTGGCATTTCGTTCCTGCTGTCCTCCCTGCTTACCTTTTCAAGGAGCCAATGGTGTCGTGGGGCCAGGCCCTGGCCACCTGCTCTGAATCATTGAGGAATTTCAAACGGAGCACGAGGGGCTCCTGTGGGGAGTCCGGGGGTGGTGGTGTGGCTGCGAGCCCTGAGGCTGGCTCTGGCTGTGCGGCGTGGCCTCTGTGTCTCAGGCTGGGGGTCTCTGCTCCTGGCGCCTCCCCTCTGATGCTGTCAGTGGCTGGCCTGGCTTCACTGGGCTGCGCTGGCGTTGGGGTCCCCGATGACTGGGGCAGTGGGTCGGCGCCCTCAGCGGTGTGTGTTGAGACCCAGGCGAGGGCCAGCACCAGGAGGCAGGCAAGCACCGAGAAAAGGATGGTCACCTCATCACCCACCCCTTCAATCAGGGCCATGGCACCCGCCTTGCCCGCCACGCTACGGAGCTGGAGAGGCACAAAGAACCGTGAGGGGGAGCGCCCTGGCAGGGGCAGCCCCACTCCAACAGACTCATCGCACCCTGTGGCACAACCGACTCCCAGTCACCCTGAGCTGGCCTTCTCCTGCCTCTTCCCATCACCAAATCCCAAGTCCTAACTTTCTGTAACCCGAGTTCTAGGCTTCAAACAACTCCCCCAATTCACCCAACCCTATCTCCAGGTACCCATCTTGACCTGAGCAACCCAGGCCCTAAATTTTCTTGGTTTTTTTTGGAGAGGTTTTTGCTATAGGGCGCGTTCGCTCGCCAGACAGACAGAGACAGAGAGACAGAAAGCGAGAAATCACCCCCCAGGGGGGATGGCCATGCCGCAATCCCTTCTCCTCCATTCTCCTCTCAGGATCTTGGGCACGCACGCACATATGCTCGGCGTGAGTTTTAAGCCACCGGATCCGGGACGTGAACCGCGGTGGACTACATGGGAATCCAGCGACACAGCCATTACGCCAACTGCTGGTCCCTCCATCCCCTAAATTTAACCACCACCAAACTTCAGCCCAAAGCTTACCTACTCTGCTGCTGTCCACTTCACCCCGAAGGATCCTACTCCTCCACCCACTTCACCCCAAAACTCACCTACTGGGCTGCTAAAGTTTCTCCAAGGAGGAAATGGCCTCAACGCCCCCTTTCCCCTTCCTGTACCCATGTACCCAAACCCCATCGTGGCACGGGATTGCTTCCAAAGCTTCCCCGCACCAAACGTCAAACTCCGCCCTTTGGCAATCTGGAGCCTCCAAGTGCTGCCACCCACCCCGCTCGGCCCCCACCCCGCGGCGGCCCGCCCCACGCCTCTAGCCAGCCT